CGCCACTAGCCAGCTCCGGGACCTAGGACTCACCGGCTTGACTTCTATGAGCCTCAGTTCTCTCGTCTGTAAAATGGGGATAACAAAAGTACCTGTGTCTGACATGCTCAATAATTGTCAGCTCTCACGATACATGTTACCAAGTGTGCTCTGGAAGCAGCAAGGAAGGAGATGTCCCCCAGCACGACCAGTTTGTGGGGGTGGGGTGGGGGCAGGAAGGCTCCTCAGTGACGTCATCCTGGCCCCGGATGTGAAGAGACACACTGAGTTGGCCACACTTCCTTCCCGGGACAGAGCAGCCTGTATAAAAGCCAGCAGCCTTAGAGGCACGGCCGCGAGGGACCAGTGGAGCTGGTATGGTCTGTGGTCTCGGGCAGCGATCAGCAAATTTGTTCTGGAAAAACCAGATAGTACGTAGGCCTAATTTTAGGCTTTGCGGGCCAGGCACTTTCTGTCACCGCGATTCGATTCTGCCACCGCCGCAGGAAAGTGGCCGTGGAGGGTGAGCCAACAGCGTGATTGTGTTCTGATAAACTATTAAACGTGGCCAGGGAAACCTGAATTTCACGTAATTTTCCTGCATTACAAACCCCTTCCTCACGCCACCCCGACCTCTGCTTCTGCTGTCACATCCCCTTCTCTGACTCTGACCCACCTGCCCCTCTTTTATAAGGACCCTTGTAATTACACTGGGCCCATGCCTGGAAAATCCAGGATAATGTCCCCTCTCGAGATCATGACCTTCATCATATCGGCAACATCGCTTTCACAGTGACACGCTCACAGGCCCTGGGGATTAGTACGTGGGCATCTCTGGAGACCTTATTCTATCTACTGCAGAGGGATTAACAGGAGAGCGGCTGACGCGATGCCCCAGGAGGTTTAAGCTGGTCACACCTCACCATCTCCACGTGTCTACACCCGCAGGCCCATGAGGGCCGAGGACAGGTGAGCAAGGTGAAGCAAGAGGGGAGCTGGAGACGAAGAGGTGACACAGAAGCCTCAGACCCGACAGCAAGGTCCGAGGGATGGCCGTGGGTCCTATGAGGGTCGGGAGGGGTGAAAGAGAAGGTCGCCGGACGGGAAGCAAGCAGCTGGGGGCTCGGAAGGCCATCCACAGCCATGTCGAGTGATGCAGAACGGACCAGGCCGGCCCCTGTTGCCCATCTCCTGTGGTGTAGGATGTGATCCACGAGCCTGCGGGTGTCAGGAATGAGGCCGGGAGAAGGTGGGCCTGTCCAGGGAGGCAACTACCTGATTGCAGGAGGAGGAAAGGTTTGGACACAGCTGTGGGCCAGGAGAATTGGACTTTCTCATGGCCCCAAGGGCAGGGATGCTGGAGCATAAACAGCCCCCACAGGAGAGGACTTCAGGAGAAGCCTGAAGGAGGTGGGGTCTCTGGGGACGCTGGGTATCAGCTGCCTGACTAGTACCCGGGCAGGGGAGGGGCTGCCAGGGCAGGTGATGGGGAGCTGAGCCCCAGGGCTGAAGTGGGGCAGAGGGAGAGGCAGGTACGAAAGCTGCCATCAAGCGCCGTGTCCCAGGGTCCCGCCTGCTGGCTGTGGACCTGCCCTGGGAGTCTTTGGTCCTTCCTGTCACTGGGGGATGGGGAGACTACATCTAAGGAGGTGAAGCAGTTGCCAGAAAGAGAACTGAAGAGAAAGTCAGGAGGTATGGATCCCAGCGCAGCTGCGGGAGGCCCTGGGGGCAGCCCGGCGCCTTCCTGGCGCTTACCCCCAATGTCAACCCTTGTCTGTGGCTCCTGCCTTCCGCTTATCTCCTGAACCCAGCCCTCCTCTCTATCCCTCTGCCTTATCCCCCCTCACAGGGACATCTGAAAGGGGCTCTGTGGTCCCCAGGCTCAGCCCCCACCAGAGTGCAAGTTTCTGGACAGTGGGGAGCACACCTTCCACCTTTGCAAACTCTGAGCCAGGAGGCGGTGAATACAGGACGTTTCGTGAGTGAATGAACAGATGATAGATCCATTCGTAGATGGGGAGAACTAAGGAAGATGACCCCATATGATGATTACAGATAGAGGAAGGAAGGGAGGGATGGGGCAGGGAGAAGGGGGTGGACTGGCCACACCGTCAGCATCCGGGTGATTCTCTGTGCCTCAGTTTCCTTATCTGTACTAAGGGGATATTAATGCTACCCACCGCACGGGATTCAAACAGAGCCCAGCAGATAGGAAGCACTTGAGAAGCATCAGCCACAATGCACGTGGTGACAGGCCCCACACTGGAGTCGGTTCGGGGGTTTGTATCACCAAAGGAGAGCTGCAAAAGACTCGTTAAGATCGAGCAAACAGAAAGGCTGAAAGTCAACAGGAAAGAAGACAACAAGATGAGTCGAACCATTTCAACCCAAGGTCGGAGTTGGGCAAGTTCAAAGATCCCTAATGCCCTCCTTATCTGAGCCACCCACACAGGGCTCGTATTTCTGAAAAACAAGTCCCAAAGTCCTTCGGGGTCTCCCTCAGCCCCGTGCAGGGGTGAGTCCTGCACAGCCGGTGCTCACTGGGTGTTCCTGAGAGGACCCTTGCCACGCCAGCTCCCTTCCTCTCCCAAGGAGGGTTTTGCTGGCATGGTGCCTAGAAGCAAGAGAAGATGAGGGTGGAGCTGGAACAGGGGCTCGTTGCTCGAATACAAGTGCGTGCTTTCTGGAGATTGGCAAGCATTGCTAAAAGGAGAAAAGAGAACTTCGAGAAGCTCCCATTGGCCAAAATGTGGTGACCGGACCATTCTAAAGGAAATACCACTGTGGTTAAATAGGACAAGCTGAGTCTCCTAAAAGCTGACAGGCCATAATGAACATAATGGCCTATAAATTCAATAAATTTAAAATAAAGTGTAGAATAGGTTAGTGATAATACAAATAACGGTTTTATTAATTTTAACACGTAGGGGATAAAGCTATAGATGTGTGCTTCCTTCCTTCTATTAACGCCATTGTCACTTACAATGCATAGATCTGCCTTCTTTTCCTCTGAGTAAGGATGAAAAGTGAAAACAAGAAGCCATAAGCCAAACATTTCCAGAAAAAGTCAGACCTGAACCACACACAGGAAGCAGGCCCAGAGGTCACGTACAGGAAGGAAGAGGGTCCGGTAGGCTGTTGCAAGATGGATGATTTGCAAGATGCCAACAGGAAGCAAATTCACGGTGCAAACTTAATTCACATCCTGGGAGGAAGCCCGGGAGCATCCGACTAACCCTCCTAATGTAAACAGGCTATGACAAGGCACACACAGTTGTCGATTACGCTCACGGAGCAGGCCTGGGTTAGAACACCCCACAAGCATCCACTCATTTGAGCCTCACAACAACTATAATGAGAAAAAGACTCTTATTATCCCCATTTCACAGATGAGGAAACCAAGGCTCTGAGATCAGCCACCAAGTTGACAGGGCTACAAACCACCCCACACCCAACTTGGTCCTCTGTTCCTAACCCTGTGCCTCTAGGAAGCAAAATGAGCGCAGAGCCCAGCAGAGGGGAGTGAGGCCTTTTGGGATCAGCTGAAGCTTGAATACAAAGAAGTGTGCCTGGACAAAGAGCACCGTTGCCCCCATCTTTCTCCTGCTCAGACCCCGGGAAAGCATCTGAACAGGCTCCCGGGCCCAAGACACATGCCCAAATATCTCATGGTAATTGGCATCGACTTAGGGCCCACCTGGGCCGAGGCTGCCTCGAGTCTTACATGAAATCATCTCGTTCACCCTTCCCAATCCTGGTACAAGTGATATATCTTATCTTGCATATTACGGATGAGGGAACTGAGGCACGGGGAGGGAAGTGGTGAAGCTCTCACAAAGGACAGGGGTGGAGTTCAGGCTTGAACCAGATGTTTGGCTCCTGAGCCCATGCCTTAGCCACGGCCCTACAATGAAGAAGAGAGCCAGTGCCTGTGGGGGAGGGACCCCAGAGTGAGCACGGCGGGACCCGAGTGGGAGCGCGCGCTGAGAGCCTGGTGCACCTGTGTGTTGAATGGGGCAGCACATACAGGCTGGTCCCCACGCTCTGTGGCTGTGGGGACTCTGAAGTGTACCTCCACCCTCCTGACCAGGCTGATCTACTTGGCCCAGGGCCCCAGGAAGGGTAGGGTGTCCCCAGAAGCTTCTTACTTAAACCAGCCCACAGCATCTTCCTAAGATGCATTCACTCCCAGGAAATCAGCCTAGAGGCTACTTTCGACAATTCCAGAAGTCACTGAGTGGACAAGACGTTCTCCACCATGGCTCCCGGTTCAAGGAACACTGTCACTGAGAATGGTCCCTGGGTGCCCTCCTCCACCGCCAGCCAGGATTCTGTCCTTGCTCGGTTTCCCGGATCATCCCACCCCTTCTTCCTAAGATATGTGTCCAGAGGAGCTCTCTGCAGCAGGGAGCCCCAGGGGAGTAGGGACCCTGGAGCATGCGGATCGGGAGATAAGGAAGGGCTGAGCATGGAACCTTGACTCGATGGCACAGGGCCCCGGAGCCCCTCACGTGCTCCCCTCCAAATGTCCCAGTCCCTGCTGGGACATCTTGCATCCGTTTTGTACCCAGCCAACGTCCATGACACACACCTCTCCCATACCCACAGACCCTTCCCAGCTTCCGTGGGGCTCCAGCTGGGCATTTCTCAGGTGGCTCGGTCTTTCCCTCTACGGCTGGCCCTGGAAAGCTGCCAAGATGCCGGTGCCAGTCCCTAGGCCAGGAGGGTGACACCTACTATCTCCATGAACGCCCTGAGCCCAGTGCAACCCTCTCTCTTACAGAAGCTCAGAGGGACAGGTTGACTCGTTGGGGTCACACAGGCTGGACACGGCTAGAAGAGCAGGTGACAAGCAGGACTGCCTGGGCCAGGGAGGGCCGGCTGCACCCGCCTGGCTACCCACAGCTTTGTGCAAGGCGGCTTCCTGTCCCAGTTCCCCGCCCCTCCCGGACCTGCTGCCTCTGACACCCAGAGCCTCCTTCCTCCCGGGCTGGCAGAGACAGTGCACTGCCCAGGTGCATACAGAGTGCCAGAGCAGGAGAAGGAGGAGGAAAAGGCAGGCTGCCACAGGAGGTGTGGAAGCCACCGCAGCTCAAGGATTGGAGGTAGAGGGGGCGTGGGGCAGTGCCTTCCCACCAGCCCCGAGGCCACCGGGCTGAGGGAGCCAAGCTTGGCAACGGAGTGGAAGGTGAGGCACTTGGCATCGCCCATCCACTGCAGGGAGGTGGGAGGGGCGGCTGGGTTTGGAGGGAGGCCATTGTACAGATGGAGAAACTGAGACATGGGGCAAGGAAGAGATGCCCGGGAGGTATGGAGGTCAGGCCCCACTTCAGCCAACACTCACCTCTCTGAGCTGTGAGGGGGTGGAGGGCCCCGGTGGGGAGAAGCCCATCCAGCCAGCTGAGGGGGAGAGCCTGAAGCCAGATGGTGGAACTGGGGGGTCAGGATGGGAGTGGGGAACCCTCCCCCCCCGAGCTCGTTCCTGCTCCTGTCTGGCAGGTGGTACGAACTCCCCTCCCAGAGCCACTGAGAGCACTGAATGAGAGAAGCCTGGGGGGCATTCCTGGAAGCCTTCCCCCTGCCGCAGTGACACCAGGGAGACCCACTGGCACAGGTGGGGCCCCATCATAAAGGGCTCGCTGTGCGCACCCAGGACCGGGCTCTGAACTAACCCAGAACCGCTGCACTGAATCCTCACAGCAGCCCAATGAGGTGGGTACCATTGTGATCCTCATTTTACAGGTGGGGAAACTGAGGCACGGGGCAGGGAAACAGCTTGTCTGAGATCTCACAGTCACTGAATAGGGGAGCTGGGTTCTCAGGTCTGAACCTATGTGTAGCAGAGGAAGCTGCGGGCCGTTCACCTGGCACAGTCCCACATTTGGGACCGGGGGAATGAGAGAAGGGACAAAAATGCCCTCTGCCGCTCCATCAAATACCCATAGAGAGCCTGCCATGTGCCAGGCAGCCATCAGAGCGCACAGAGAGGGATGTGGTCTGCCCTCGGTTTTTAAAGAGATCACAGTCAAGCGAGGCCCAAACAACCTCAACCCTGTGCTACCACCTCTCCCACTGCTAGCGCCCTGGGGGCCTGCAGTAGCTCCAGAACAGGGCCACATTCCCAGGAAAATTCAAGCACATGTGGATCGTATTCCTCTGCTGGGAGCCACACCCGGTGGAAACAGTAACAGGCTGAGGCTGGCCAAGAATTCAGCCTCGTCCTGCCCAGAGAAGCCCGGAGAGCCGGGCTGAGCAGACCCAGATAAAGAGCCCACCGTGTGCCAGGCGCTTTACAGAAGTTATTGTGCACAACCCTGACAACCGCGCTAAGGGGCGGGACTTCCAAACCCCTCTGATGCAGACAAAACCACCCCCTCGTTCAGAGAGGTGAAGCAGCTTGCCTGAGGGAGCACAACCCTGCTTTGTGTATTTACCATCTGACCGCTGGTCTGTGCCCTGGGCCACCCGTGCCAGCCCAAAGCGGCTGTGTCAGCATCGGTTATGGCCCATGTTCCTCCTCGGGAAAATCGACAGAGTTCGTATCTGGGGCTAGCTTGGTGACTATGAATGAGCAGCCTCTCCACCCTGGACCTCTGCTGCCTCCTCTGCCAAAGGCGCTTTTCACTTCCCCGCCTCCTCCCAAGGCAGCAGCGCATCTCTGGCAGGAGACATCTCAAGGGGCCTGGGTAAATAGTAGCTCTTGCTGGGGCAGCCAGTGAGAATTCCCCAGTGGGAGGGCAGGTCCCCAAAGGAATGCTGTCCCCAAGAGTGCCTGAGTCATGCCACCTCTCCGTGGATGCAGGACGCCACGGTTTATGAGCTGGGTACAATGACTGCCTTTGGTAGACAGGAGAGAGGGCCGTGGGCTGCCTGGGCAGGGCACACACGGGTGGCGCGGGTGGACAGCTCAGCGGTGGCCTCTGGACTTAGTCCCTGTTTGCTCCTCCGATAACTGGGGTGACCTTAGTTAATATTCACCAGCAACCTCCCCCGTCATCCCTGTGGGTCCACGGCTTAAATAGGAACCAGAGACAAGGCTCTGTCTCCTCAGCCTTGGTCACCAGCCCCGGCCTGGGACAGTAACTGTAAGTATGCCTTCCACTGGGGAGAGCATCTGGAGGCCCCCGTGCTGCCAAGCAGGTCCCGGGGATGCAGGGAGGATGGAACAGGCTGGGGCTGGAGCCCCTGTCGTCATGGCAACAGCAGCCCCAGAGGTCCCTCTCCTCTCCCAAGCCTGCCCCAGGGCCTCCAGTGTATCCACCAGTATCTACTGGTGGATACACTGGCCCTCGAGGAGCCGCGGGGAAGTGGAGACCCCAGGAAGGAGCACACCTCTGTGGGCACAACTCCTATGTCCCTCCTATTTGTCCCCTGCCGGCCTCACCACCTTCCCCGGGCTTCCCCTTCTGTGGGTGAGAAAGGTAAGGCCCAGAGAGGGACCGTGGAGAGCCCAGGCTCCCATAGAGACCTTGTGGGGAAGCCAGACGGGACCAGAGCACAGAGTTCCAGCCACTCATGGGGTCTCCATCCTCTGCAGAAATGCCCAGAACAGAGCCATGCTGGGCCCACTGGGCCCAGTGGGTCTCTGTGTGCCCTCGTGCACGGTGGATGATGGGAAACCATGGAGGGGGTCCCGGCTCAGGCTTTCAGCTGGGCTCCCGAGCCCTCGCTCTAGCCAGCCGGCTGCTGAGCTCCTTGCGTGCGACCAGCCGTTTGAGCCTTAGAGCAACCTTCCGAGGTGGTCACTGAGATGATTCCCATTTTACAGATAAGGAAATCAGGAACAGGGAAGCTCATAACTTGCCCCCAAATACACACTATCCAGGATTCCAACTGGGGCCACCTAGATCCAGAACTCACCCTCCCAACCCTCTACCTCCCACCAACATAATTCTCTTGGGTCTTAGGATCCAGCTGGGGAATGGGAGAAACCCAGGTGGGCTGGCCTCGAGGCCTCTTTGATGTGGGGTGACCCTGGGCCCCTGCTCAACCTCTCTGTCCTCTTGGACAAACGGTAGACAACCTTTGCCCTCTTTCCTCTCACCCCACCCTGGCCCCCCAGCCTTGATCTCTGGAGAATGGGAAGGATAAAATTTTTCTGTCATCAGTTCTTGGAGATGGGGGCTACAAAGATGACCAAGGCCAAGGCCACCAGACTCCCATGCAGTGCTCCAAAAGATCCATAACTATATCGATAACAGCTAAGCCTCCCTGACAGCTGACTTTGTGTCAAGCATTTCTTGGCACTTTGTACATATTTAATTTGCACAATAGCTCTGTGAGGAAGTGCACCCTTGTCATCTCCAGGAAATGGAGCTTCAGAGAGGTTAATTAATCTGTCCAAGGTCACACAGCTGCTATGGAATTGAACTCAGGCATCATGGCCTCAGAGCCACTGGCCAGAGCCACACGCGATGCCCTCTTCATTTAGCCCGATCACATCCAAGCATTCGTCTGTTGCAAGGTCTCTGGCTTTAGCTTTGTAAACAGAGAAGGATTGAATGCCGAGTCCCAGAATCAAAATGCCAGCCATTAAATCCCAGATTCATAAGCAACCAGGTCTGTGGTTTTCAGTAAGTTGCTCAATCTCTGGAGGCCTCAATGTCTCCATCTATAAAATGGGGCTAATAATCATTCCCACTCCACAGGGTAAGCGTTGGGGGGACATTAGATGAGACAGTGCACATAAAACACCTGCTGTTTACTGGGTGTGACCACCAGGATGCTGATGCTGGTGCTGGTGTTCATTCGACACGGGCTTTGGCAGCTAGGAGGCAATACATAAACACTCGGAGAATTGAATTTAAAATTTTCCAAACTCAGAGGCAGTTCCCGGCCCAGCAGGGGCCACATCTCTGGTCCTGGGCAATGTGGCAACTGGCCAGGAAGAAATCTGCCGGTTTTTTACATGTGCACCTTACCTGTGGGCAGGTACGGGGAGAGCTTCCACACCTGGCAGGTGCTCGCCCGCCCACCCACTGCCTTGTTCGTCCCTCACATCTGCCTGGTGAGGGATTCTTTTCTCCACAGACAGGAAGCCATGGCTCAAGAGAGTGCACCTCCCCGGGGCTACTTGCCCAAACTCGGCAGGGCTGGGTCACACGTGGGCTTTTCCAGTGTCAGGGTTTAGCAGGTCGTTGATGCCCCAGTGGCTTTCCTGGACCTCCCTGGGTCACCCCTGATCATTCATTTTATGCTCATGGGTGGAAATAGAGGTAAACGTAAAGGGAGGGCTCACTTCCTGCGCCCCCACCTGGCACACTGCTCCCACCAGCCCTGGAAGCCAGGAACGTCACCGTGACGTCTTCATTCTTTTGGTTTAAAGCACCTCTGGGTGCTTCACTATCTACCTTATCTACTCCCGTTGCCTTCCCCAGCATTAGTCTTTGGGGGATGCAGGGTACGGCCTTTGATAGAAGGGCATGGAGAAAGCAGAAGTCTGGGGTCCCTGAAGTTGGAAAGAATACTTGAGAGACAAAAGGAAGCCGACAGGAGGCCCAAGCCCAATGTGAGGGTCCCTCGGGGCCCCGTTCTGGCATTCACAGAGCCCAAGACCAGAGGACACAGTTGTCTCAGTCTGCAGTTCAAGTGGCGGGAAAACCAAGACTCTTTCCAGCTTTGTCACTGATTTGCTATGTGGCCTTGACAAGGCCCTGACCCTCTCTGGGTCTCAGACCTTTTACTATAAAAAGGAGCCAGGAAAGGTGATGTGACACCCACTGAGATGGATGTGTTCACCACCGCTGTGGCCCCTCCCCAGCTCAGCCCAGGCCAGCAGCCCTTGGAGGGAGAGGGCACCCCACCCACCCCCTACCCACCGCCCCCAACAGGAAGTCTCAGTCCATTTTGCTCCACCAAACCCAAATACCTTCTGAGAATCCAACGTTAGTCCAAGGGAAACTCATTTAGGTCTTCCCCCACCTCAACTTCAGCAGCTGGGGACTTGCTTGCCCAAGGCCAAGGGGATGCTAGTGGTCCCATCAGGGCTGGACGCCACAGCCTTTGAGGCCCCTTGGATATTTGATGTCCCGATCCTGCAGAGACCCAAATCCCTCATGATCTCTGAGCCCTGCAAAGACGAGGGGTCTCTGCAAACCATGAAGACCCGCGCCAAACCCCAGTGGGGAAGCGAGGAAGAGCCGAGGGAGATGGACGTCTGCAGAGCCAGTGCCAACACCGGCTGATTACTTTAGGAAAAATATAAACACGTATCACGTAGCGTGCAGTCCGTCAGGTTTGGATTACTCAGAGGCACCAAGGCCAGAAAAAGGGTGGCGAAGAGAAACCAGGGCTGTGCTTCATTTTGTTGTTTGATTCGAAAGAAACTTTTATAAAAAGTCTGCGAGGATAGACTTCCTCATTTCCAGCTTCTTCCCCCCAGGTTTTCAAATTCCAAATTCAAGGATTCCTTTGTCTTTGTGTTTTACTAAAACGATGAGTTAGTCCCATGAGAAATAGCTAGCCATGTGGCCGCAGGCACACTCTCCTCGGCTTTGACCTCAGTTTCCCCACCAGGTTGTACTCAGGGGGTGCAGACTGGTGGCCCTGAGATGGGGGCACATCTGGGAGCCACGGAACACATGTCCCTCCCCTGCCTGCCCTCCGAAGGCTTCTGATTTGCAACCCCTAGCAGCTTCTAGAACCTGTCAGTGTGAGGTCTGATGCATGGACTTATTTCACAAAATTCTCCCAATACCCTCACTTTCTATATGAGGTAGAATGAGAACCAGGGAGAGCGAGTGGCCTGTCCTGGGTCATATGGCTGGCCGTGACAGAGCCCAGATTAGAACTCAGGGCTGTCTGAAAAAGGGATGTTTTTTTAACTCCTACACCCCACCCCACACACAAGTACACACCCCCTAACTTGCTGGAGAAATCAGTATCTCTACAGCCCGCATCACTGCCAGGCCCAGAGCCGGGACAGAGGTGGTGACGAGGATGGGCAGGTAAGTTGACCGCAGGGACTGCACCCCATTCGTGTGGCTGAGGCCACAGACGCATGTGGGGCTGCCCTTCAGCTCAGGCAGAGTTGCTGGGGGCTGAGGCTCACCATGACTGGTGAGTGGGGACAGCCCTGCAGCTCCATGCGTTCTGGCTGTGTGTCACTGGGCAGAATCTTACCCTCTCTGGGCAGCAGCTTCCTGTCCATTAAATAAAAGGAGCTAGTGGAAATGTTCCCATTCCACATCCAGTCATACCTGAGCCTGATCTGGCCCGATTCCTGGGTAGTTGTGCACAAGTCTCCTATGCTCCTTGTGCCTCAGTTTCCCCTTATGTGAGACAGGATCTGTGACACCTGCATACAGGGCCACTGCAGGAAGTAGGCAGCCATCAAGAGCATGGACTCCCACCCAGACGGCCCGGGTCTGTGATTCTGCTCCTGCTACTTTCCTGCTCTGTGGCCTTGGGCAGGTGGCTTCAACCTCTCTGGCCTTCGGTCTCCTCCTCTGTGGATGGGCAACGGTCCTGTGCCCTAGGTCACAGGTCATCACGAGAGGACAATGAGCTGAGACAGCCAAGTGCCTAGAATGGGACTCGGCACGCGGTGAGCCCTGTAAAGTCTTTGCTACTGTTCTGTCCTTGCGTGATGAGGACGTAGGAGAGTGCTTGGCCCAGCACCGGCACATAGTAGAGGTTTAGTAAACTCTGGATGCTCCACCTGGGCTCAGTCAGTGGCCGGGGGACTCACCGTGTGGCCTGACTCGGGCGTGGTGCCCCTCCTCTCTCTCTTGCAGGACAATGCCATCCTCCATCACCTGGGGCCTCCTCCTGCTGGCAGGTCTGTGCTGCCTGGCCCCCCACTCCCTGGCTAATGGTCTCCAGGGAGATGCTGTCCAGGACACAGTTGCATCCCAGCACGATCATGAGGAGCACCACCAGGAGCCAGCCTGCCACAAGATTGCCCCAAACCTGGCTGACTTCGCCTTCAGTATGTACCGCCAGGTGGCTCGTGAGTCCAACACCACCAACATCTTCTTCTCCCCCGTGGGCATCACTACAGCCTTCGCCATGCTCTCTCTGGGGGCCAAGGGTGACACTCATGGCCAGATCATGGAGGGCCTCGGTTTCAACCTCACTGAGAGAGCAGAGAGTGAGGTCCACGAAGCCTTCCAGCAACTCCTCCGCATCCTTAACCACCCAGACAACCAGCTGCAGCTGACCACTGGCAATGGTCTCTTCATTACTGAGGGTATAAAGCTACTGGATAAGTTTTTGGAGGATATCAAGAACCTGTACCACTCAGAAGCCTTCTCTACCAACTTCGGAGACACTGAAGCGGCCAAGAAACAGATCAATGATTATGTAGAGAAGGGAACCCAAGGGAAAATTGTGGATTTGGTCCAAGATCTTGACAAAGACACAATTTTTGCTCTGGTGAATTACATTTTCTTTAAAGGTAAGGTTGCAACACCAGCCTGAGCTGTTTCCCACAAACACATCCAAAAATATTCTCAAACACACAGTTGTTAAACTTTCCATAGCAGTGCAGAATGAGTGGGCAGAGAGTCTCCACATGTGTTATTTGGTTTCCCACACACAACCACTGTCATACTTTCCTCGATCAACTAAAGTCAGGTGATGATGAGTGGGACAGTCATCTTCTCTGCAGGACTTTTCAGAGCCTTTAATATCCTAGTGTGCCTTGTCGATCCCTACCAGGGAGGGAGGTAAAATAGGCAGTTTTAGCAGAGTATATGAAGGGACTGGGGTTTCTTGGAACACAACTTCTGATAACTCCAGTGCAGTGAAGAGGAGGGACGGCTTTGGAGTCAGAAGCACCAGGGTTGGAATCCTTCCCCCACCGATTATTAGCTGTTTGACTGTGGGCAATCATCGTTCCACTTTGAGGTTTTTCCCCTCTGTAACAGGGACATACTAATACCCTTGTTGTCAGGTTTCTGTTAGGACTGAACAAGTTACAAAGAACACGGGACCACAGGCTCATACAGCAGATGCTCAACTGAACTTGAATCTCAGCCTGGCCTCCTCCCTGAGGGATGGCAATGTGGGGGGCCTGTGGGCCGCAGAGGGCACTCTAAGGTAGTGGAACAGCCCATGGAGAGGGCCTGGTGGGGGAGAAAAGAGCGAGGCCAGGGTGGCCTCCTTCATTTTGCCGGCTCCTCATTCTGGAGACAACAGTGCAATGGAGAGCCCCGGGCCAGAGTCAGCACATCTTAGGTCCCAGCTCTGCAGTGGGGCTTCTGGCGGGTCTGGCCCCTCTCCGGCCTCAGTCTCCATCTCTGTCCAATGGGAGAGTTGGGTGCAGGGCCCCGGGGGCACCCCTCCACTCTGACTTGCCCGGACGAGGCCGCTCTCTTGGCGTGGGGGTGGGGGGTGGGGAGGAGCTGCCCAGGCATCTGCATTCCGCACGGTGATCCAGGGAAAGCTCTGGAGTCGGGGGGAGAGTGATTCCCTGAATGATAAGAACCGCCCGCTAACAAGGGGCAGAGAGACTCGGACAGGGAGGTGCTGAGTAGGACTGATGTCAATCATTTTCACTTAGAATCTCCCAAGCCACCCTCAAATAAGTAAGCATGAAATACAAGTAAAAATCCTCGCTCTGCACATCCAGCTTGGCATCCCTTAGCCTGCATAAGATAGACATTCTGGATCCTACTCAGGTCTTGCATTGTTCTCACGGAAGTCCTTTCAGTAGATTTCACCGCAGCCCCATTTTACAGCTGGTGAAACAGGTTCAAAGAGGAGGACCCCAGCGAGGAGGTGCAGGGCTTTTTTACCCCCCCCCATATTATCCCAATCTTCTTCCGCCTCTGGCTGAGGCCCACCTTGCCTTCTCTCCAGGCAAATGGGTGAAGCCCTTCGAGGAGGAACATACCACAGAGGAGGACTTCCACGTGGATGAGCACACGACGGTCAAGGTGCCCATGATGAGCCGCCTGGGCATGTTCGACATCTATCACTGCGACAAGCTGTCCAGCTGGGTGCTGCTCATGGACTACGTGGGAAACGCCACCGCCATCTTCATCCTCCCTGACCAGGGCAAGATGCAGCAGCTGGAGGACATGCTGACCAAGGAAGTCCTGGCCAAGTTCCTGGAAAACAGACACACCAGGTGATTCCCAAACCGGAGAACAGCCCAGGCGCTGCCTCATCCGGACCAGCCACCGGGAGGGAGGGTGGACCCACATCCCATGGACCGCACAAATGCACATGACCCGGTGTCCCGGACACAGGCTCACGTCACTCCCACCATACCGGCCAGGCCCCGGGAGAGGGACAGTGCCCACGGGGAGGAGGCGAAGGCCCTGTGTCCTTGGGGACTCCCCCTGCCCCGGACACCGCCCCTTCCCTGTGCCAGCACCCGGAGCAGGGTGAGCAATGCCAGCATGAGCCCTGGAGAACCGAGAAAGGAGACGTGGGCTTCTGGAAAGGGGAGCAATGGATGTGGACTTAGAGGAGGGACAGTCAGGGCTAGAAGGGGAGAGCTCGCCTGGGGACCAGAAAAGCACAGGCCCAGGTTGGTTTGGGTTCCTCGGTCACTAGACCAGTGTGGTTTGGTGAGGTCGCCAAGTGAAGTGATATGTGAGCATGCAGCACAGATTCGTGCATCACTCAGTAGTCATATCATGCCCAAGGCCTCAGGAACTAGTTTATCGGGTCCACTCCAAAATATACATCCCTTTATAAATGTATGCAATAAGAATATAGAAAAATAATCAAATACATTAAAATTAGAATTAAGAAATAAAATTAAAATCCAGAAGACGATATAATACACATATACATACATACATAAATATGAGAATAAAAAAGAGCATAAGGTTAAAATTAAAATAGCAGTTTTAAGACCTCTTTCCCGGCCCCCCCCACCCCACCAGAGGTAAAGACCTCACCCCTGTGTTCCCTGCACCAGAGGCTGAGGAAGGAGACAAGGTGGGGCAGAACCCAGAGCCGCTCACAGAGAGCCTGTATGCCCATCAGCTCACTCCGGCAGACCCTTGATTCAGGCCCTGGAGAAGTCCCCATCTGGGGGGACCTAACCCTGCAGAGCAGTGTGCTAAGGGCTCCCCAGTGGAGTGCCCGGAGGGCTGCTCAGAGGAGGCAGAAGGCAGCCCCTGAGACCTTGCAGGACAAGCTCATCCCAGTGACTCTACATTCTCTGGCCCCAGGGGCTGGAGGAACGAGAAATAGAATAAACCCATGCACACCTCCAGTCCTCCTGTGGGAGGGAGAAACAGCCAGAAACGAGACACTCCATGTGTGAAACCCCCTTGTTTCCTGTCATGGCAGGTCTGCCAGTTTACGTTTGCCCAAACTGTCCATTTCTGGAACCTATGATCTGAAAACCGTCCTGAGCAAAATGGGCATCACCAAAGTCTTCAGCAACGAGGCTGAGCTCTCGGGGATCACGGATCAAGCGCCCCTGAAGCTGTCCAAGGTGAGTTGTCCCTGGCGTCCGTGGGTCAGGAGGTGTCACAGCGTGTACGGGACCACAGCTCAGAGGTGGTCTGGGGAAGGGACAAAGGGACACAGACGCACCTGCGGACCGAGGTCCCTGAGGAGTGCCACTGGATCCACTGGGACTGGAATGTGGGCAGGTGACAGTGGAGGAGGGGCCTCACGGGCTTCTGCCACATTAGGGACTTCCTCTGCGCTGGTGGCACTGACCCTCTGGGTCGTCTTTGGCCAGGGCCTTCCCTTCTTTGGGCCTCGATGGACCCATGTTTACCAAGACAGGCTTGGGCTCAGGGATTTCAAAGAACTTTTGTCCCCTGCGTCTGGGACCCAGGAGCTACCGGCCAATCACAGAGTCTGAGTTAACAAATGATTTTGCCTAAAGATGACATTTATTCAGGAGAGTGGAAGGTGACCAAAGACACCACTGCAGCTCAATGGCTGGCTGGGAACTGAGTGCCTGGTGTAGACCAGGCACAGGGAAGGTCCCTGTCAACGTCCTGGGCCCCAGGGCACTTGACATCTGATACTGGAAACAAGGCAGGAGCCAAGGAAGACGAATCACAGGGAAGTCTCCCTGCTGGGGTTGTGGGTGGCTTCCCAGGGAGGCTGAGAAGGTTGGTGAGGATGGAGAAGTAGGGTCCACCGGTGGAGTCAGACAAGGGCTGGAGAAGGTGGTGAAGGCCTGTGTGTTGCCTGTAGGGAGGGAGGCCGGGGATGGGGAAAGACAGGCTGCGTGGAGGAAGACCTGAGTGAGCCCCTCCCTGGGCCCCCGCACCCTTCCTCTGGCCTTGCTACCACGCTGGGGGAGGGGACGGCCCCACTCAGCACAGGCCCCTGTGCTCTCTCCCTGCAGGGGCTGCATAAGGCTGTGCTGACCATTGACGAGAAAGGGACAGAAGCTGCTGGGGCCATGTTTCTGGAAGCCATCCCCATGTCGATGCCCCCAGGTGTCGACTTCAACAGCCCATTCCTTATCATCATCTACGATAAAAACACCAAGAGCCCCCTCTTCGTGGGAAAGGTAGTGAACCCCACCCAAAAGTAACTGCCTTTTGGGTTTGGCTCCCTCCCGAGATGACATTAAAGAGTGACCCGGCCCAGGCTCAAGTGTGACGTGTGAATCCTTCAGCCCCTCATCTCTCAGGTCTCCCTCTCCGTCCCCAGGAAGTGCGTGGAACAGTCACAGCATCTCCCCTGTAGACACTGCCCTACCCTGTAGTGGCACTTACACCGTCCAGGAGCTGTGCTACGCCAAGAACCACTGCCTGCAACACACCGTTTAGTGGCTCTTCCCCAGTCACTATGGAAAAGTCTAGGCTCTCAGTCTTATCTGGGAATCGCCCAGGTGGATCGCAAGGGCTCAGATACCAGCCTGCAGACCCCACCTCCACCAAGCATCCGTCGCTGGCTAAGCCCCCCAGCCCTGGTGCTGCTCGCGGAGCCCCCCATGAGAGCACCCCCTGCAGGGCTGCCAGCACCAAACCCGAGGCTAGGGCCCCACCCCCCCACCCCCACCCCGTGGCTCCCAGGGCCTTCAGCTCACACGGGGGCTTGGAGCTGCCACAGCTCCAACCACAAAGAGAGACGACTCGGTCCCCTTCTCATCCCACCTCGTCACCTGAGCTAGGCTTGGGCTCCTACCGCTCAAAGGTCTGTCCTGCAAAAAGCTATGGTTGATTTTTCCTGGAAACTTTTTCAGTGGGGCTAGGCTGGGAACACATATTTTGTCCTTGTCTTCCATCTCTGCCCCAGGACCCTCAAACACATTACCCACAGCAGCAAGTGGGTCTTCCGCATCCTCTTCTCTCCAGGTGGGTCTCTGGGTCTTGGGCTGTGTCACCTGCTCAGACTCATCCCGGTTTGCCAGAGGCCCCAAGACACTTACCCTGTATCCTCTCTACCCAATCATGGGGCCAAGTTGTGGCTCTGGAAACTCATTCCAATTAGTCCTTGGTCATGGGAGAGGAGCCAGGCCATCAACCTCACTAGCCCCCCTTGCCCTCCCTTGGCTAAGCTCTGACAGGGGACACTTTTCATCTGGCCTTGTTCCTGCCCCACGGCCCACCCTGTGGTCTTCAGAGGGAAACCACAACTCATACCACAGCTAGTGGCCATCCCAGGAGCAGCCCTTTCACTAAGGGCCATGTGGTTCTTTCTCATCCTCCAGAGTCCCACAGAAGGGTTATGGCACTTGGGAAGTCCTGCCGGACCCCCAGCCTGAGGGAGCCAGCTCCTGGGACTCACAGGAATGTGCTTGTCTGTGGGAAAGACTGCCCCATCCCATAAGAACCTAGTAACACCCCCCTGGGTCCCTCACGGGGGCTGACTGCATATCCACACAACTGCGGTGAGTCATATGAAATTTACACCTTTTAAGTCAGAAAGGCCACATGTGTGCAATTCCATGTAATTCAATATAATGGTTAAAAATTCAGCTGTCTCCCAGATAAGTCGATATCATCCCGATTTTTCTGGACACATCCAACCTCCACAAATTCCATTAATGATACAACCGGTGTCAAACACCCGGGACGATGCCAGAGTGAGAGCAAGTCCAGACCCTGCAGCGTCCCAGCTGTGTGACTTTGGCTAAGTCACCAAACCTCTCTGGGCGTCAGCATCTTCATCAGGGTTATAGCAATGACTTTGAGTTGGTGTATGCTTCAAAGCAGGTGCTCAAAACAGCTTTTGAAGGAGAGCAGAGCTGGGTGCCGATGTAAGGGGTGACATTTGTGACATTCATGAGCTCCTCTGTAAGCCTGGAGCCCCTCGAGGGGCAATTCCAGCATTTACTCCTCAACTCAGCACTGTGGAGTGGCGAGTGGAGCTGCTCGGCTCTCATGTGCCCATTGTCCAGATGAAGAAACAGAGGCTCAGAAAGGCCACTGGTCTTGCTCGAGGTCATGGAGCTAATAAGTGGCAGAGCTGGCTTCAGGAGCCCCACTTGTTCCTGCAAACCTCAGCACGCCACCCACGCTCCCCACCAGACACCCACAAGCTAGATTCCTGCCTGAAGCCTGAGCGATGCTGGGGTGCACAGCCACATGCCGAAGACACCTGTGCAGGAAAACACCCTCCACCCCAGAGGGCAAGTAGCCGATTTGCAGGAGCCTTTTTCACCCGAGGCTGAAGAGCTCACAGCCTTCAGCAAGCAACCTGCACAACACTGCACACCCCCCCAATACTGGGGAGGGAAGGGGGCACATGCAAAGGCCAGCTGGGACTCCTGGAGCCCAGGGAAAGATCAAAAAGCTGGAAGACCTAAGGGCGCTCACCTAAGAAACCATCATTCCACTTCCAAGAATGGTCTGCAGATACTTCCGTCTGAGCTGTGGTGGCAGAAACCCAATTCGAATGACCTGAAAATCCCCGGTGCGGAGGTCACAGGCTCTTGACAACCCACAGGGTCCGTTCATGGGTGGGCAAAACATCCAAACAACCTTTTCGTAAGGAGGACAGGAATGTGACACTAATCAGCCAGGGCAGCCAGAAGCCTCGGCTTTGCCTGTTCTTTCAAATGTAGTCACTGCCTAGTGTGACCCGCAAAACCCTGGGTCCCTGAAGGACCCAGGCTGCCATTCGTTACCCCCCATTGACAGACGGAGGTTAGAAGACCTGCCCAGCTAGCCCAAGCCTAGCTCAGGTGACGAGGTGGGATGAGAAGGGGACCGAGTCATCTCTCTTTGTGGTTGGAGCTGTGGCAGCTCCAAGCCCCCGGCCTAGAAATCAGGCGCCGCACTCAGGCCCGGGCTGCCCCCAGAGCGTGGGATGTCCCGTCCATCTCAGATCTTACAGGCGAGTCCAACCTTCCGGTCCGCACGAGAGCCACCTGTCTGGCCTAAGGCCGGCTGCAGCCCAGCCACTGGGGACTGGGGGGCTGGCGAGCATGTACCAGCAACTCTGGGGGAGGCGGGGCTGAGTCACGGGGGCCAGGCTAATGGCTAATGGCGAGACAGTCCCGCAGGGAAGGGCCTGGCCCGGGTGGGGCTGAAGGCTGATTGCCAGGGACGTTTGTTCTCAGAAGTCAGAGCTGCCTTTCCACGACCCGGTGCCCACTGAAAGTCACTTCCGAGCCATAGGACTCAGGACATATTTCAAGACTCCTGACAGTGGCAGAGTAAAGAAATCGCTTTGTTTATTTATGCACATTGCCAATGTCTGCTGTTCCGTTCACTGTGCTCTCCGTGAAAGGCACACCACGGCATTAAACTACTTCTGGCAGCTCTGATTTTTCATCATCACATCGCGTGCAGTTGGGTTTGTTGAAACAAAGGGTGTGTGCATCTTAATGTTGATAGCGGTCTGTAAATTGCCCTCCCCTCAAAAAAGGTGATTCCAATTTACATTCCCACCATAAGAACAATCGTTTCCTTACAATTGTTGTCCATCCAGTAGATTACAACAGGCTCGTTTCAGGGAGGTCTCGATACTAAGACGAGCTCACTCACTTATACATGTCAGGGCCACTGCGGTTTCCTTCGCGGTGACATGGGTCCTTGTCCAGAGCCCCCATCCATCCTCCTTCCCTCCACCACCACAGTCAGCCCAGGTGCGTCAGCCCCGCCCCATTACCACCTGCCTTCCTGCTTCCAGAAATCATGGGGCACATCCTGAAAGTAAATTGGACTGACTGTGCTGTGATGGATTTGGGGCCCCCCCTCAAGACAGCTGACAGTGAGTTGGCATCTTTCAGCACCAGGGTTCTAGCCAAAAGTTCTGGCGATGTCACCGGAGCCAGCTGGAAGAGGGAGGGCAGGGAGAGAGGTGCCGAGCACCTGCAGGGCACGCAGGCCCCACTGTGAGACTGCTCCCCCCAGAGTGTTGCCCCCCGCCGCCCCCAGCTCGGGGCTGGTTCCCAGGCTGCACGTCGAGGGTGCGGAGCCCCACAGCTGTGCCCAGCTGGCCGAGCTCTGGGCCACCTGCTGCTCAGGGAGCTGAGCTGTGGAACCACCAGTGGCATGTTAAGGTCTGTGGGCTGCCGGGCAGCTCTGCAGAGCCCAGACTTGGGGCCACTTCCCACGGGACCCAGGCCCGGAGGGCAGCGAGTCTCCTGCAGCCCGCCTGGTCACAGATGCCACTGAACCCTGCTTTTGGGTGGACCTGGAAAAAGTGTTTCTCACTCCTGCGATCAGGATAAAAAGACCAGCAAACTGCAGCACCAAGAGCGAACCAAATCTAAACTGCAGGTTCAGACTTTGGTTAATAGCATTGATATTGAGTCCTCGATTGTCACAAGTGTCCCACAGCTGTGCAAGATGTTCCTATCAGGGGAACTGGGGTGCAAGGGGGGGAAGGTACCTGGGAACTCTCTGTGCTTTCTTTTTTTTTTTTTTAAGATTTTATTTCTTTGACAGAGAGAAACACAGCGAGAGAGGGAACACAAGCAGGAGGAGTGGGAGAGGGAGAAGCAGGCCTCCCACGGAGCAGGGAGCCCGATGTGGGGCTCGATCCCAGGACCCTGGGATCATGACCCGAGCTGAAGGCAGATGCTTAACGACTGAGCCACCCGAGCTGAAGGCAGACGCTTAACGACTGAACCACCCAGGTACCCCCTCTCTGTACTTTCTGTGCAATTGTTAAAGTCTTCATTTATGTATGTATGTATGTATGTATGTATGTATTTATTTTATTTATTTATTTGACAGAGAGAGACATAGCGAGAGCAGGAACACAAGCAGGGGGAGTGGGAGCAGGAGAAGCAGGCTTCCCGCCGAGCAGGGAGCCCGATGCAGGACTCTGATCCCAGGGTCCTGGGATCATGACCTGAGCCGAAGGCAGACGCTTAACCAACTGGGCCCCCCAGGCACCCAAATAAAGTCTTTTTTAAAAAAGAAAAAAATATATTACGATGGAAATGCCTAAGGCAGTGTGATAAAGCACACAGAATTCAAGAATCCCAAGGCAGCCTTCGAAATAGTGTGGCAGCGGGAGCAGGGCTCCCGACCACACTTGCATCTGAGCTGGTCTCAGCTCCTGTCACTGCAAAATGGGGACAGTGAGACCGAACTCGTTCAAAGTTTCCTCTATGGCTGATAGTGCATGGCGTCTTTCTTCAGTGCTGGTCCTTACCGAATATTAAACATCAGACTGCAGATTCTGAAAGTAGCGGTTTGGGGGCCTGGTTTCCCCTGCCTCTTGATTCGCTGGCAGAAAATTAACAGAGGGGTGAATTACAGATATTTCCACATTTTGTTCCTGAAGACCTGAGTTGGGAGTCAGACAGCCTGGGGTCTTTTCAAGGCTCTACCACGAACGAAGGCGCCCTGGGCGCTAGGGAAGCCACCACCCCTCTGTGAGCCTCGATTTTCTCACCAGTAAAATGGGAGCACTAAGCTCCCTTGGGTCCTGATATTCTGCAAGATACTCACCACCTCAGCGTAGCCCAACGCTGTTCTTTCCCATGATAGTAGGCCCACTATCATGATGCATCTGGCAGGTGCCTGTTACTTCCTGTCTGTGCCCAGACAAATGGACTTTGGAGCCCAGAGGACACAGATTCCAGTGCCCAGTGTGAAGATTCCAAGGGCTGGGACCTTGGCAGTCACAAGTCGGGTGACATCAGGGGGCCGACGTTTCTCGGAGATCAACCATGTGTCAGGCACAATTCTAGGCTCTGGAGGTGTTGTAATTCACTTTCTCCTCTCGACAGCTCTGTGAGGACAGTATCAAGGCAAAATGAACTCTGGGTCTTGCATGACCATGGGGCCCCCAGCAGCCCATCCTTCCAATGGCCCTTGTGCCTCCTGGTTCCGCTGGACTAGGCCACTTCAAGGAAGAACAGCAAGGCCCTCTGATGATATCAGGCACTCGCCGGCTGCACCCTGGAGGCTCCCCAGGCTGATTTCCTGCAGCGGCGGTGGCTGTGGGTCCACAGGACTGGGTGTCCCAGCCCCCTGAGACTGCCCCATAAGTAGGGGAAACCCCGTGAGCCAGTGTGGGACACCTGCCGTGCACGTCCAGCCCATCCAGCCTGTCTGGGAAATCAGTGCATTCTGCTGAGTGACTCACTTTCCATCAGCCTCCTCCCGAGCTGACACTGGTCTGCGAGGCGGAGCCCCTGTGCCAGGATTATAATCTCCACTTAACAGAGGAGAAAACCCAGGCACAGACAGTTTGGGCTCTGATTTGCCTGGTCAGGATTGGCAGGCAGGCTGTTCTGCTCAGTGCCGCCAGTGGGGAGGATGGAATCATGCCATTCAAACGCTCCCAGCACATAGGAGGCCCACTATCATGATGCATGCTGGTGGGTGGGACAGCTGGAGGGTTGCTTTCCCCTTCTCCCATCCACCCCAGGCTTAGAAAAGATCCTGTGGCCTTGGTGGTCTTCCCCTGTGTCTCTCCCACCTGCAGGTGGCAGGGACAAGTCCCCTTGAAGCGCCCTTTCCATGTTCCCAACATGCTTCTCCAACACACCTCAGGATCCTTCTCTTTTACCTGGTTCCTTTTCAACTCCAGCCAGAGCCAGAGTCCTTGCCCTTGCCATGTAGCTTCCATGCCCCTCACTTAACTATCTTACTGGAGAAAGCACATGCCCTTTTAGCTTTCCCCCAGAGTAACCTGCTCCACAGATTTCCAAAGGATGGCGCGTGGTCCCCCCCGCCGACTCCCTGGCCCCCGGCCCTCTTGCTCAGTGGACCCTGGCCTTGGTCTTGTCATTGGAACTCCTCCTCTGAAAGGTTGAGGTGTATTCATTAACTCCCCAGATAACCTTGCTATCTTGTCTGTCACCTCCTTCCCTTTCTTATCTGGGTTCATGGCCCCATCTCCCACTCGTTGGCCCCTTACTGGTTGTAAAAGCTTTTGTTTGCGAAACCCACCACCCTCCTCCCCCAAAGAGTTGATCTCTCAGGTCCCTTCTGGCCATGAGTTTTGATGGCTAGCCTGGCTTCACTCATGTCTCCAACAATCTCATTTTAAAGAGGAAGCTCAGAGAGATGAAACATTTGTGTCCTGGGTCCACAGCTAGCGAGGGATCGAAGCGGGTTAGAACCCAGGTCTATCTGAAGCTAAAAAGTGTGCTTTTAACCAGCTCCTCCCCTCCACATCAACCCTCTGCCACTGGAGGGACCAGCGTCTCCGAGGCCCCTGCCATCCGAGCGCAGGGCGGGGACTCGGATGCTGTCTGGGGAGCAAGTGAGCTGACTGTGGGGCCCACAGAAAATGTGGGGGCTGGCACTGGGACTCATCGTGGTGCCAGCTCAAGAAAGGTTTCTAGGGGCTGCAGCTGGGCATGAGTATTTAGTGGCAACAACCCTGACACTCAGAGGAACTTGTCATTAAGCTCCCAGTGACAGAAGGACCATAGGGGCATCTGCGTTCCCAAGGTGACAGGTGAGGAGATTTGCTGTGGTCTCCTGAAGTCCTGCCACAACATGTCACAGCAGAATCCTGGGACCCCCCGCTAAGAAAGGGCCCTCACCCAAGAAGCATGAACACCTCCGTCTAACTGGGTCCGGTGAATGCCATGGCCCCAGTGAGCCAAGCCGGGACTCAGTGGACGCAGACCTGCTCTGAAATGAGAAAAGTCTGTCCAACTTGGAAAAATGAGGCCTTCCAAGTGGGCCATGTGCTCTGAACCCCTCCTCCCCCTGCACAAGGGCACTTTGACCCCAGGAGACACTGGGCAATGTCTGAAGAATTTTTGATTGTCTTACGTAGGAGTCGCGAGATTGCTACTGGCATCATGTTTTGTCTAGGATGCGTCTGAACATCCTACAATGCACAGGACAGCCCCTCCCAGCATGGAATCTTCCAGCCCAGAATGTCAATGGTACTGAGCTTGAGAGCCCTGACTCCCGGTATGCTCAGCCCTCAGAGGCAGCCACGTTCCCGCTTCAGGGAGGGAAGTATCAGGTGAGCATTTCTGAGTACAGAGCACCGGACCAGAAGCTTGCAGACCTGTCTGGGGCCAGTGCTGCTTGACCAGCCGTGTGGCCTTGAGAAAGTTCCGGAACGACTCTCCAAGCCTCAAGTCATTGAAACAAAAGTAAATGCCTCTGAGTGCCCTGAGGTTAAGGGCCCGCAGCGCTTTTGTCAGCCTCATGCCCCAGACCCAGAACATTATAGGGTCAGATCATAATCCACTCCAGGCTAAGATGCTCCTACTCTGAGGGTTGTAGCAGCTGCAAGGAAAGGGGGTTGAAGTGTACGGAGTCAGGCAAAGTCTGCGCCACCGTCAGCCAGGATGGGTTTCTGGCTGTGTGTCATTGGGCAAGATCTTACCTCCTCTGGGCAGCAGCATCATGTCACCATGGGGGCAAATGGGGGACTATTCCAGATCCAGGCATCCCTGCACTTGACCTGATATGCTTCCTGGGTAATCGTGCACCCGTACATTATGCTTCCTGTGCCTCAGTTTCCCCTTATGTGAGACAGGATCTGTGACACCTGCATACAGGGCCACTGCAGGAAGTAGGCAGCCATCAAGAGCATGGACTCCCACCCAGACGGCCCGGGTCTGTGATTCTGCTCCTGCTACTTTCCTGCTCTGTGGCCTTGGGCAGGTGGCTTCAACTTCTCTGGCCTTCAGTCTCCTCCTCTGTGGATGGGCAACGGTCCTGTGCCCTAGGTCACAGGTCATCACGAGAGGACAATGAGCTGAGACAGCCAAGTGCCTAGAATGGGACTCGGCACGCGGTGAGCCCTGTAAAGTCTTTGCTACTGTTCTGTCCTTGCGTGATGAGGACGTAGGAGAGTGCTTGGCCCAGCACCGGCACATAGTAGAGGTTTAGTAAACTCTGGATGCTCCACCTGGGCTCAGTCAGTGGCCGGGGGACTCACCGTGTGGCCTGACTCGGGCGTGGTGCCCCTCCTCTCTCTCTTGCAGGACAATGCCATCCTCCATCACCTGGGGCCTCCTCCCTCTGACATGCTATCAGGTTCCCGGCTCCCTGAACACATCCAGGCAGGATTCTAAGCTCCATCAGCATGCCCCCTTCCCCAACATACCCACCAAACTGGCCAACTTTGCCTTCAGCCTGTACCATGGACTGGCCCATCAGTCCAACAACAACATCATCTTCTCCCCAGTGAACATTGTGGTGGCCTTTGCGAAGGTCTCCCTGGGGACCAAAGGGGACACTCGCACCCAGATCCCATAGGGCCTAGATTTTAATTTCAAGGAGACACTTAAGGCCACTGTCCACAAAGGCTTACAGCATTTCCTCTGCACCCTCAACCTGTCGGACAGCCAGTTCTAGCTGCCCAGCAGAACTATACTATTCATCCATAAGAATCAGAAGCAAGTGCGTAAGTTTTTGGAGGCTGTCACGAAGCTGTCCCGCTTCTCCATCAACTTCAGAGACACTGAGGAGGCCACAAAACTGATCAACCAGTATATAGAGAAGGAAACCCAAGGAAAAATTGTGGATTTGGTCCAAGATCTTGACAAGACACAACTCTTGTTCTGGTGAATTACATTTTCTTTCATGGTAGGCTTTACCGCCAGTATGAGCTGGTTCTAAAGGAAACACACAAAAATATTCTTAAACACTCACTTTGTAAGCTTTCTTTGGCAGTGTGGGAAGGATTATGGCAGGGCATCTCTGCAGCTGTTATTCACAGTATCCCACACACAACCACTGTCATACTTTCCTCGATCAACTAAGGTCAGGCGATGATGGGTGGGACAGTCATCTTCTCTGCAGGACTTTTCAGAGCCTTTAATGTCCTAGTGTGCCTTGTCGATCCCTACCAGGGAGGGAGGTAAAATAAGCAGTTTTAGCAGAGTGTATGAAGGGACTGGGGTTTCTTGGAACACAACTTCTGATAACTCCAGTGCAGTGGGAGGAGGGACAGCTTTGGAGTCAGAAGCACCAGGGTTGGAATCCTTCCCCCACTGATTATTAGCTGTTTGTGGGCAAGTCATCGTTCCACTTTGAGGTTTTTCCCCTCTGTAACAGGGACATACTAATACCCTTGTTGTCAGGTTTCTGTGAGGACTGAACAAGTTACAAAGAACACGGGACCACAGGCTCATGTAACAGGTGCTCAACTGAACTTGAATCTCAGCCTGGCCTCCTCCCTGAAGAATGGCAATGTGGGGGGCCTGTGGGTTGCAGAGGGCACTCTAAGGTAGTGGAACAGCCCATGGAGATGGCCTGGTAGGAGAGGAAAGACGAGGCCGGGGTGACCTCCTTCACTGTGCCAGTTCCTCATTCTGAAGACAACAGTGCAATGGAGAGCCTCAGGCCAGAATCAGTACGTCTTAGGTCCCAGCTCTGCTGTGGGGCTTCTGGCGGGTCTGGCCCCTCTCCAGCCTCAGTCTCCATCTCTGTCCAATGGGAGAGTTGGGTGCAGGGGTCCCCGGGGCACCCTCCCACTTTGACTTGCCCTGATGGGGCCGTTCTCTTGGCGTGGGTATGGGGGCTGGGGAGGAGCTGCCCAGGCATCTGCATTCTGCACGGTGATCCAGGGAAAGCTTTGGAGTCGCGGGGAGAGTGATTCCCTGAATGATAAGAACCGCCCACTAACAAGGGGCAGAGAGACTCGGACAGGGAGGTGCCCGAGTAGGACTTGGGGAGCTTCCAAATACACCTAATAATTTTCATTAATCATCTTCAGGCCATCCAAGATAAACATAAAATCCAGGTAAAAATGCTTGCTCTGTACACTGGGACTGGAACGTGGGCAGGCTCTGTGCCATGTAGCCTCTGTGATATATAAATTCTAAAACCTCCTCTAGCCTCAATTTAGCCCCACAAAGCCCTTCAGTCCCCTGATGGGGTCCTTGTAGCCCCGATTTACAGCTGGTGCAGCTGAGCCTCAGAGAGAAAAGCCTTACCTGGGCACTCCTTCTAGCACGCTTATGCCATCCTTCTCCCATCCTGGCTGATGTGCCCCTTCGACTTTGCAGGCAAATGGAAGGATAAATTCAAGTTTGAGCGCATGGTGGAAGGAGACTTCCATGTGAATGAAAAGACCACCATCGAGGTGCCCATGATCCAGGGCCTGGGCATGTTTGACCTGCACTGGGACCAGGAGCTCGCCAGCTGACTGCTGAGGAAGCGCGCCGAGGCAGAGTCAGCGCCTTCCTGATCCTGCCTGGCCCCAGGAAGATGCAGCAGCTGGAGGACAAGGTCTCCGGAAACCATCTCTCCAACAGCCTCAGAGTCATTAACATACGGTGCTTCCCGGTCCAGGGCCAACCTGGGTGCTGCCACGTCGGGCCCGGCCGCAGGGAAGGAGGGTGGACCCACATCCCATGGACCGCACAACTGCGCATGACCCAGTGTCCCGGACACAGGCTCACGTCACTCACATGGCACCAGCCAGGCTCCATGAGAGGAACAGTGCCCACGGGGAGGAGGCCAAAGTCCTGTGTCCTTGGAGACTCCCTCCCCCACCACTCCCCAGTGGAGTGCCCAGAGGGCTGCTCAGAGGAGGCAGAAGGCAGCCCCTGAGACCTTGCAGGACAAGCTCATCCCAGTGACTCTACATTCTCTGGCCCCAGGGGCTGGAGGAACGAGAAATAGAATAAACCCATGCACACCTCCAGTCCTCCTGTGGGAGGGAGAAACAGCCAGAAACGAGACACTCCATGTGTGAAACCCCCTTGTTTCCTGTCATGGCAGGTCTGCCAGTTTACGTTTGCCCAAACTGTCCATTTCTGGAACCTATGATCTGAAAACCGTCCTGAGCAAAATGGGCATCACCAAAGTCTTCAGCAACGAGGCTGAGCTCTCGGGGATCACGGATCAAGCGCCCCTGAAGCTGTCCAAGGTGAGTTGTCCCTGGCGTCCGTGGGTCAGGAGGTGTCACAGCGTGTACGGGACCACAGCTCAGAGGTGGTCTGGGGAAGGGACAAAGGGACACAGACGCACCTGCGGACCGAGGTCCCTGAGGAGTGCCACTGGATCCACTGGGACTGGAATGTGGGCAGGTGACAGTGGAGGAGGGGCCTCACGGGCTTCTGCCACATTAGGGACTTCCTCTGCGCTGGTGGCACTGACCCTCTGGGTCGTCTTTGGCCAGGGCCTTCCCTTCTTTGGGCCTCGATGGACCCATGTTTACCAAGACAGGCTTGGGCTCAGGGATTTCAAAGAACTTTTGTCCCCTGCGTCTGGGACCCAGGAGCTACCGGCCAATCACAGAGTCTGAGTTAACAAATGATTTTGCCTAAAGATGACATTTATTCAGGAGAGTGGAAGGTGACCAAAGACACCACTGCAGCTCAATGGCTGGCTGGGAACTGAGTGCCTGGTGTAGACCAGGCACAGGGAAGGTCCCTGTCAACGTCCTGGGCCCCAGGGCACTTGACATCTGATACTGGAAACAAGGCAGGAGCCAAGGAAGACGAATCACAGGGAAGTCTCCCTGCTGGGGTTGTGGGTGGCTTCCCAGGGAGGCTGAGAAGGTTGGTGAGGATGGAGAAGTAGGGTCCACCGGTGGAGTCAGGAAAGGCTTGGAGAAGGTGGTGAAGGCCTGTGGGTTGCCTGTAGGGAGAGAGGCTGTGGTTGTGGAAGGACAGGCCAGGTGAGGAGAGAGGCCTGAGTATGATAATGAGGCACAGAGAAGGGCCCAGCCCCCAGGGAGAAAAAGGTTAAGGAGAAGTGTCCTTGAGGCGGTTGGGTAAGCATGACCTATTGAAGGAGCCCATAATTACCAGCTAAAGAACTCTGACTTATTAGTCCCCATTCACACACACACACACACACACACCTTTCTCACACACACATACGTTATGCACACACACACACATTTACTGAGCACCTGCACTGAACAGGGCTCCTCACATGAAGCACTTTAGTGGTCCTGGGAGTCCATATTGGATAGCTCTCATCTTCCCATTTAGGAAACCAAGGTTTCAAGACGAGTTGTCATCTCCTTGAGGTGACACAGTTAGTTAGTGGGGAAAATGGGATTTAAACCCAGGTCCTTGTGATGGAAAGTCATATTTTTTCTACTACATACACCATGATGATTCAGTTGTAAATTTTGTGATCCTTTAATAAAAATGCTCAAATGGCAGACACCCAACTAGCAATTCTGCTTATTTGTCATTATTTTCATTTTTATTTCAACGAAATGTTAGAAAGACCCAGGTCCTTGACAGGCATTTGGAAAGATCCCTTCCCTGAACCCACATGACAGCTCTCATTTCATCATGTTGGCCTTGCTCCCAGCTCTGGGTGGGGGCTGGTGCAGCCTGTCTCTGCTTCCAGTAGGCCCCTGTGTCTCTCCCTTCCAGGCCATGCATAAGGTTGTGCTGAGTTTCAATGAGAATGTGACAGAATATTCTGGAGCCACCCCTTCAGAAGAGAGCATCTGGTCTAAGCATCTGTCCATCCAGTTCAACGAGCCCTTCTTAGTCATCAGCAAGGATGAGAACACCAACATTCCCCTCTTCATGGGAAAGATGGTGAACCCCATGCAAAAAATGACCATCCCCTCCCAGGCCAGACCCCCTCCCTAGATGACATTAAAGAATGGTGGACCTGCCCAAGCATGAGTGTGATGAGCACATCCCTAATATTCTTGTCTTGAGGTCTCCCTTTATATGTGTGGAATCCAGGTCACAACAAGTGTTCATGTATCCACTTAGTTCATATGCACTGAGCATGCACACTGTCCAGGCACTGTGCTAGGCAAGGTGAAATGTTGGCTGAAACCCACAGTTTAATAACAGACATAGAAAGCCAGCAATGACAGGAGATGGCTTCTTGGGAAGTGGGACAGGACACCTAATTAATCATTTAGATTTTGGTAGAAGTGTAACAGGCAAAGAGGGAAAGAGGCAAGGCTAAGCCAGGCAGATCGCTCAATAGGGAGAAAGCTCTGGGGTCTGCAGTCATGCAAGGGATCACCATCAGTCAGAGTGCTAAGGCCTCACACCCACATTAATACTGATGTTTGGACCTCTGGTTAGGTCACACAGTCAAATATAAAAAAAGTCAATGTCCTTGAAGAAAGCATTGGTTAATGCATCTCTTGATACTGAAGTGGGTAAGGCCTCTCTAAACAAGATGAAAACTCATATGTCATAAAAGTAAGTGGACATATTTGACTTTATAAAATGCAAACTGTATGGCAACAAAAAATGTCATTCACTTCACCAAGAAAATATAGCGGTTATAAATATTTATGCAGCCAACATCAGAGCTCTTAAATATGTGAAGCCATCATTGACAGACTTGAAGAAAGAAATAGCAACACAATAATAGGAGAATCAATACTCCACTTCCAATAATCAATAGGAAATCAGACAGAAGATCAGTAAGAAGAAGGACTTGAACCACACCACAGACCAGCTGGGTTAATAGACATACATAGAACACTCCACCCAACAACAGCACAATAGACATTTTCTCAAGTGCCCGGGGAACATTCTCCAGGATAGACCACCATATATTAGGCCATAAAACAAGTTTTAACAAATTTTTAAAGACTGGAATAATACAAAGTACTTTTTCCAACCACAAAACTAAAAAATCAGTAGCAGAAGAAAAGCTGGAAAATCCAGAAATATGTGGAAATTAATAATTCTTAAACAACCAATCAGTCAAAGGAGATGTCACAAGAGAAGTTAAAAAGTATCTTAAGACAAGCGAAATGAAATGAAAATGAAAATACAACAAGCCAAGACTTATAAGATGCAGCAAAAGCAGTACTAAGAGGAAAATTTGTAGCTGTATGCATTTACATTACAAAGAAGAAAATCAGATCAACAACAACCTAACTTCACACTTGAAGGAACTAGGGGAAAAAAAGGGAACAAACTAATCCAAAGCTAGCATAATAATAAAGACTGAAGCAAAGATAAACAAAATAAGGAATTTTTAAAATGAAATAATAGTGAAAATCAACAAAACCAGGAGTTGGTTCTTTGAAAAGATCAACAACATGGACAAACCTTTAGCTAGACTGGCTAATAAAAAAAGAGAGAGAGAGAAGAATCAAGCAATTAAAATCAGAAATGAAAGAGGGGACATTCTTTTACACATGTAAAAATGGTTATAGGCAAATACTATGAAAAAATTGAATGCCAACAAATTAGATAATCTGGATACAGTAGAGAAATTCCTAGAAACACACACCTACCAAGAATGAATCATAAAGAGAAAGAAGATTGTCACATGATACTAGTTATACCTGATGTATAACTAGGAAGGTGATTGAATCAATAATCAAAATCTCCCAACAAAGAAAAGCCTAAGACTCCATGACCTCACTATTGAATTCTCCCAGACATTTAAAGAAGAATTCACACAAATTCACACAAATTGGACCACTTTCTTACACCATATACCAAAATAAACTCAAAATAGATTAAAGACCTAAATATGAGATCTGAAACTGTAAAACTCCTAAAAGAGAACATAGGCAGTAATCTCTTGGACATCAGCCTTAGGAACATAGTTTTCCTCAGGCAAGAAAAACAAAAGCAAAAATAAACCATTGGGACCACACCAAAATAAAAAGCTTCTGCATAGCAAAGGAAACCATCAACGAAACAAAAAGGCAACCTACTGAGTGGGAGAAGATATTTGCAAATGCCATATCTAATAAGGGGTTAATATCCAAAATATATAAAGAACTTACACAACTCAACACCAAAAGACAATGTATTAAATTTTAAAATGGCCAGTGGACCTGAGTAGACATTTTTCCAAAGACATCCAGATGGCCAACAGACACATGAAAAGATGCAAATCAAAACCACAATGAGATATCACCTCACACCTGTCAGAACGGCTAGTATCAAAAAGACAAGGAAAGAGGAATCCTTGTACACTGCTGGTGGGAATGCGAACTAGTGCCGCCATTGACAATATGGAGGTTCCTCAAAAAATTAAAAATAAAAATATCATACAATCCAGTAATTCCACTATTGGATGTTTACCCAAAGAAAATGAAAACCCTAATTGGAAAAGATATATAGACTCCTATGTTTAGTGCAGCATTATTTACAATAGCCAAAACATGGAAGCAACCCAAGTATCCATGAATAGCTCAATAGATAAAGAAGATGTGGTATACATGCACAGTGGGATATTACTCAGTCATAAAAAAGAATGGTGGGGTGCCATTTTTGATGACATGTATGGACCTGGAGGGTATTATGCTGAGTGAAATAATAAGTCAGACAGAGAAAGACAAATATATATGACTTCACTTATACATGGAACCTAAAAACAAAACAAATGAACAAACAACAACAAAAACCAGACTCTTAAACACAGAGAAAAAACTGGTTGCTGCCAGAGTGGAGGGGGATAAGGGGATGGATGAAATAGATGAAGGGGATTAAAAGGTACAAATTTCCAGTTATAAAATAGATAAGTCAAGGATATGAAAGTACGCATAGGGAATACAGTCAATAATACTGTTATAATGTTGTATGGGGACAGATGGTGACCATACTTATCATGGTGAGCACTGAGTAATGGATAGAACTGTTAATCACGGTATTGGAACAAAAAAGAATTCACACAAATCCTCCACAAACTCTTCCAAAAAAATGGAAGAGGAGGGAACACTTCCTAACTCATTTTATGAGGCCAGCATTACTCTGATACCAAAGCCAGACAAAGACACTATAAGAAAAGAAAACCACGGACCAACATCTCTGATGAATATGGATGCAAAACTCCTCAACAGAACACTAGCAAAGACAATTCAACAGCACAGCAGAAGTATCATACACCAGGACCAAGCAGGATTCATCCCTGGAATGCAAGCCTAGGATAACGTATGGAAATCGATCAATACAATACATCACATCCATGGAATGAAGAGAAAAAATATGATTGTCACAGTTTACACAGAGAACATATTTGACAAAATTTCACGCCCTTTCGTGATAAAAACACTCAAAAAAGGAGGAATATAAAGAGACTACCCTCAACATCATAAAGGCCATGTATGGGAAGCCCACAGCTAACGTCAGACTCAATGGGGAAAGACTGAATGTTTTCTTCAGGAACAAGTCCCAAATGCCTGCTTTGGCCTCTTCTACTTAACATAGTTGAGAAAGTGAAATAAACCAGTCATGGAAGGACACATACTGTACAACTCCACTCCTGTGAGGTACCTAGAGCATCAAAATCACAGAGACAGGAAGCAGAATGGTGGGGGCCAGGGGCGAGGGGAGGAGGAGATGGGAAGGCACTGTTTACTGGGGACAGAGTTTCAGTTTTGCAAGATGGGAAGAGCTCTGGGGACGGATGGTCGTGATGGTTGCACAACAACGTCAATGTCCTTAGTACCACTGAACTGTACACTTCAAAATGGTAAGATGTCTTTCACAATGAAAGACAACATGATGCAAATTCGTTTAAAATTTGATAGTAATGATAATGTATGACCAACATTTTCTAAATAAGCCAGTGAAATTCCTGACACGTTAGCTGTTACTCCTAATCCTATGGTTTTAATGATAATGCCACATCAATTCATTAAAAATATATATATATATCCAACTGCCATACAAAAAAAAAGTGCCATAAAGCCAAAGATCAGAAATTTTTTAGCCAATATGACAAAGAATCATTTTAACTTTAAAGAACTCTCTCAAATCTATAAGGAAGACAGCAAGTAACCCAGTAAAATAACGGGCAAAGGATTTAAACAGGCAGTGTACAAAAAAATAAATACAAATGGCCAATGGAAATATAAAAGAATTCTCAACCCTACTCATAATTTAAAAAACACAGATCAGAGTGCCACCTGCCACCTATCAGATCAGCATAAATGTGCAAAGTTGACAATACTCTGCTGACTTCCATGTGAAAAAAATAGATCTTCTCATACAACAGACGGGAGAGTAGAAATGTGGGCAATCTTGTGGGAACATAGTTTTGTGACATCTATTAAAGCTAAAAGTAGAAAAAAAAACCAATTCTTTGATTCAGGAATTTCACTGCTAGGAATTTACCCCATGAAAATATTTACAGGGGCGCCTGGGTGGCTCAGTTGGTTAAGCGTCTGCCTTTGGCTCAGGTCATGATCCCAGGGTCCTAGGATCAAGCCCCATGTCAGGCTCCCTGCTTAGCAGGGAGTCTGCTTCTCCCTCTCTCTCTCTCCCTCTGTGCTCTCTCTCTCTCAAATAAATAAAATCTTAAAAAATAAGAAAATATTTACAAACAACAAACGTAGGGGGAAAAGTTCTTTTTAATTGCAGCATTGTTTGAAGAGCAAAAAAACCCTAAATGTCCACCAATAGGGGATTGGTTACATAAAATAAGGTACATTTCTATAATGGAATGTCATGCAGGCTTTCAAAATCATAAGGCTAGTTCTATATGGGCTGAGAGGGAAAGATCTTTAAAAGAAAAAATAGGGTAAAAAGCAAAATACAGAACAGTGTACAAAGTATGGTTTCTCCTGTGAACACACACATTCATTTATCTAACAATTATTTACTAAGCATCTACTATGTGCCAGGCACTGGCTGTGCAGCTGTTAACAAAACAG